TTTTTTTAACAATCCAGTGAAACGAACCTAAAACTAAAGGTCCTTCCACATACAACTTTGGCATTGCGTTGGCGTCGCTTCAACCGCTGACTATGAACACATGAATTCAAATGCCGGCCACATAGCCAAAATTTGGTAATGCTACAGCCTTAACTGCTGCCGCAAAAAAAATACAATGAAACCGGCTTAAATCAAATAATTAAAACACCTAATTATCATATTTTGAATTTTATATATTTTTTTGTTGTTGTCCGTCCGTTTTTATAATTATATTAATTTTTATTTTTTTTTGCTATAATATTTTTATTTGTATATAAATTTATTTATATGGAAATAACACTTACATAATCATTTTGATTTCAAGTTGGTTTCCTTGCCCATTCATCATTAAAAATAATTAGAATAATAAACGCCTTGAATTTAATATTTTCAACCATAAATTGCAAAAATTCACGGAACGAATTTTTATACTTTCAAAAATAAAAAGTAAAAATAATTTAGATGTGATTAAAATACAATATAAAAATACATATAAAGAAAATATGATATTTTATAAGTGCAAATGCTTGCGACCACACTTATTCAAGTAAAAATATATTTTTCTTTTATAAAAAATGGAATGTAAAGTGCATATATATAATTTAAAATAAGGCCATTTGCATATACATACATATGTATGTATGTACATACATACATGCAATCCAAGAGGTGTAGCATTACTGTTGTAAAAAAATTTGAAAAAATAAAGATAGAAACAGTTCTGCTACCTTAACTATTTTAAAATATATAAGTATTTTTAAAATTAAACTAATATAGGCATGGCTGCCCGCTTTATTGCGTGCTCTTGCACTTCGCATTTTTATAATTAGTTTTTTATAACGCCTAATTAAATTATTTTACTGTTAGTTGTTTGATTTTTCAACCCACTGCACCATTTTATATTTTAAATTTTTTCTCATTTCTATATTTGTTGGTGTGCTTCTTTCTTTTGCTTGTTTAGTCTATTTTACGCATATATTTATGTATCTATGTATTTATAAATATGTATTTTTTCTGTTTTTTTTATTGCAAAGGGATTTTGTTTTCTATTTTTATAGTAGATTATGCTATTAAAATTAAAGTTAGTTTATCGCGATGGAATTCACTCATACGAATGTGTTTTGTTATTTTTTTAATTTATGTGAGTATGGAAATGGGCTTTTGGGCGACTGATTAACAGAGAGCTGTGCTTGTATAGTCCGACTAATGATTTTTTTTTTGACAAAAATGCACCATTTCATTTGGAAAAATAGTAAAAGCGATTTTAAATCAACCAACCACCCTTCTTTCCTTTCTGAATCTCTGAATTTGATGTTTAAGTCAATTATAGGGAATGTGTTGCTGCTTTGTTGCTTAAGTTAGTTCTATGAATCTTTCGCTATATTTCCACTAAATATTGTTAACACTTATTTATTTTTTATTTTAGATTTAATTAAATATATGTTTATGTATATATTTATTTAATGTATTTAAATAGTACAAAAGTATACATTTTGTTTTAAAAGCTTTTTCAACTTAAAGTTTTCTGTATTTTTTTACTTCTTAATATTATGTTGCTTGTTGCTTTAGTTCCTTCTGCTTGCCTATAACTTGTTCGATATTTGATAAAAATTTAAATTTTGCCAAAGATACATCCGCGGTTGATATTTTTTTTTTTTTGTTTGAAAATAAATGGTTTAGGTTTTGCTGTATTGTTTTTTATTAACTGCTATTTCAGGGTGTTTTTAGAGCAGAAAATACGGGTTATAAAAATGGAATATCTAGAAATTTTCTTGAAAATTTTAATCGCGCAAATACAATTGAAACAACACTTTTCCAAAAAAACAAATAGTGCGTTAAAAAATTGTTTCTTAACTACAGCACAAAGGCATTTTAAAATGGTTTAGACGTATACATAGAACTACTTTCACAAACAATTTAAAAATGATATACATTAGAAACAACCGTTCATACATATACTTCTTTTGGGCGAATTAATCAAACAAATAAATTTGTATAGAAATCATAAATCCTACGTACATATGTACATAATATGTATGAATTTTAGCTTGACACCAATTGGAAAACTATCAACTAAGACACTAAGTATTTAATCGCAACTAAACTACGCATGCGTCCGCAAGAGCTTCAAATCGAAGGAGAAAATTAGTAGTTTGGAGCTTTTACTCTAAGTTTAATTTCGTAATACTAACAAACCATACTTAAACGGCGTTTTCCGTAACTGCTTTCAGTGTCAAAGCCTCTTTTTTAAGGTTATATACGGTAAGCAAATTTTCGTAAGTGTAGTAGAATGAATGAATAAGTCTGACTCAAAATGTTTAGACATACCTATATACACCTTTATATATTCTTTGTAAGGTATAACTAGCTAAACAAATTTTCTCGATGTTATCCTCGGCAGGTTTATGCGAAAAAAGCTGTCAATTTAAACTGTTTCTAGCCTCGACCGTTTTCAGTATGAAAAGCTTGGTCATAACTCAGCTGAAAATAAGAATATATTAGAGTCACCACAGCTGAACGCTAAATAAGTGTTATCTAACGTTCACCTAAGGAAATTTATCTGCCAGAAGATGTTATTCCGAACTATGTACTTAATAGAAAAAAAAAAATACTTTGTTTCGTTCATTGTTTATGGTTTGAAGATAGCGGCCGATTTGACAACCGTGAATTTGTCCGGAAAATTATGCTATGGATATTGAGGCTGAGGAACCATCATAGAACGGAACAGACAGAAGCAAAGGCCAATATCAATTTCCAAAGAAAGGTATAAAAATGAATATTTTTTCTTAAGTAAAAATGAATATTTTTTCTTCATTTAAGCCTTTAATTTTATTATCAAATCATCAATGGATCCACAAAAGAATTTAATAAGAAATACTATTACTATGATAAAGATCGCAAAGGACCCTTTATTGTATGTCTTGATGCTACTAAATCTAATTCAAAAGGTAGAAAGCCCATTGCGAGCTAATCAAAACTAAAATTCTATTTCCCAAAACTTGGAAAATGTGGCCCAATAGAAAATCCGACTTTATTAATTACATACGTTCTGATATGTCAGTAAGGCTTGAATGCTCTCAAACACGAAAGACTGCCAATCAATCGGCAATGAAATTAATATTAGGACATAAACGTAGTGCGAAATCTGCCGCGCCTGTTATTCTCCTTTGCATTTCAATTGCCTATCCAAAGCCGGTTCAGTATTCGCTTTGATTTGAAGCTCAATTGCGCGCACATGCATCACTAACAATTTACGTACGACCGACCTACTAACATTTAAATCCCATCTCTTGCCCAACAGCACGCACGTAAAAACTTACTCATGTCTGTATATGTATGTAGTCCTCTAAGTATGATTACCCTTGTAGCGTTTATTCACTATCAATATTTAGTCCAATTCGTTTCTCTTCCTCCAGCATGGCATCCAGCTCGTCCGTGAGATTGGCCAACATATTGCCAATGTCGTTTAGCACATTCACAGATACCTTCTGCCCAGATGTCGGCATTGTCACACCAGAAGATGCATCTTTGCCTTCACTGTCCGCTGCTGGCGCACCACCTTCAGCGGCCGCATCTGCATTACTTTCAACGTCACTAGGCGTATGCAAATCTACGGTGGTGGTGATAATCGTTGACGAGCCGCCGCTGCCGCTGACGGCGTTCGTTGCATCAGTCGGTGGATACTGTAGTGTGGGTGAGCGCAAGAGAAGTAAACCGCTGCCGCCACCACCGGTACTGGCACCGGCGCTGCCACCGCTGGTAGTGCTGCCGACACTGTCGCTACGTATCAGCGAAGCGTCGTGCAGCGAGGCAGATGTCTTTAGCGAGTGGAACGAGTGCGCTATATTGGCGATGGTGTTGGTCGACGACGAAGAAGACGATGACGAGGAGGAGTGCAGATGTGAATTCGTGCCCGATTGTAGGGACTGCTGTTGTCCAGCGATATCTTGGCGATTGAGCAGGCGTTGCTTGATTGTGCCAGTATTTTCGTTAGCGAATGGTATGGTATCGATGGAATCGATGCTGGAGTTTGACTGTAGATGATTATTAAAATTATTATATTATGATTATTATTATTAAAGACATTTAAGGTTACCTTGTTGTCATGGAACTTCTCGCAGTGTATTTCCGCCGTGGTCTGTTGTATGGTCGCGTAATTCGCATAAATCGGCTGATTAGCTGCCGCTGCGGCCGCCGCTGCTGCTGCTTGCTGCTGCGCATGCGTCATATACATGCCACCGTGGTGTAAAGCCCCGGCACCGCCATAGTAGAGGCCAGGCGTTACGTTTACACCGGCATGCAAGGCAATCTGCTGCTGTTGCTGCAATTGTTGCTGTTGTTGCGCGTTATCCCCGGTTAATGTACGCGAATTTCGTATACTGCAATGGCGTCGCGGTGGTTCGGGTGCGATTTTCTTGTTACTCATTGGACTGCCGGACAAGTAGGACTGGTGAATGCAGTGGTAAATGAAAATATAAAAATAACGAAGTTTAGAATACGTAGTTATTAAATAAATATGCATAAGTGATCATGTAATCAATAGGTACGCGACTTACTGCATTCAGACCGGTGCTGTCCAGCACACAACCGGATCCGCCGACAGTGGCGCCAGCCGTGCCCACATGCGCTGCCGCGCCTGGCACACCACTACCGACGCCCATTCCAGCTGCATGACAAACATATTCCGCTGCGGCAGCAGCATTCATATAGTGATGTTCCAGCGGCGGCATACTATTCAACACGGCACGTTGCAAAATACCGCGCTGCTGACGCGGCAAGGTGCCGCCACCCTCCTCATACATGAGTTCGCGTGTAGCATCGTTGGTGGGTGTGATGTCACCATCGTCATAGGAACGGCGCCAAGACTAAACGTGAAAATAAGGCACGAAAATGTTAATAATAGAGTCCACTCACTTATTCGGAGTTACACGCATGTTATGAAATTAAAAATAAGGTCTCGTACAATAGTTTGTTTTTTCAATTAAAGGATTAGGTGAAATCAAAGTAAATCTGAATTTAGTCCCCCAGAGCTTAAACACTTTATCCCACGAAAGTTGGCAAATTAAATATGTAAAATATAAAATTTAAAACTGTACAGATACTATCCGCGAGGAGTAAGAAACTTATCCGGACTTATCCAATGGCGGAAATGTGAAAACAGAATCAAAACGATTTGTAAAATGTTATAGTATGGTAATAGTATTTATTTAGTGATAAAAGATCTTGGGAGTCTACTCAGTATTAAGATCTGGTAGATTTTGATACACGGAATGAGCAATAGAGAATATATTTATCTATATGTATTTGAGTGCTGGTTTAGAAAATACTTAGAAGTCTGGAAATTTAAATAAGGTTTGAGCCGTCTAAACCAAAAGAAAATACTTATCAGGCCGCTATAACAACCTTTGAGGCGTTAATCGGAAATGAAAATTTCCTAGCATAAATAAAAAAATTTGCTATTATAGATTTTAATATTGATCATAATGCCTCAGCCAGCTTTTTGTGATGATGAGAACTCCCACCAATCTAAGTCTAACAAAATATAGTTATACATCATGTTAAAAGCCTATAAATCCTCTTCTAAATACGTGTTAACTGCACCCACATGCCACAAACATACAAAAAAATATGTTTTACAAATAGCTATTTCTAAGAAGCGCTTTATTTTTAAATAGCCACATTTACTTCTCATCCTCGTACAACATTTCGAAACTCACCATAGCGGCTGAATTGCTAAGCAAACGTGCGCCGCTAGCACCACCTGGCCCGCCCACAACGGCACCGCCCATCAAGGCAGCCTGATGATGTTGCATGGCCTGCTGATGCTGTTGCTGCTGGTGTTGCAAGGCTTGTTGATGATGTTGTTGTTGCATTGCAGGCGTTGGATGCGCAAAATGGCCATAATCAGTGGCTGTGTAATGGCTAAAGGTCAAATGGCTGCGTGTGCTATTGTCGTGAATATCCTCGAGTGATTCTAAGCTTTTGCCGCGTGGCTGGCGCACCTAAATGAAAATGAACGGCGTGGGAGAGAAGGATAGTGAAAAAAAAACATATTAGCGATCACAAAAGCGGAACGTGGGTTGATTGAGTTGGTAGTGAAAAAAAAAGAAATAAATAAATATAAAAATAAATGGCTTTATTAGAAAGTATTGGCAAAACTATTTAGAATCAAAAAAAAATTGCAGGTTTGCCATTTAACAGCCACCCACACACTTTTTCGCTGCGGTACAGTAAAAAGAGAAACAATGCCAGCTGGTCTCGCAATTGTAAGCTAGCTCACCTTAATGGGCACCACATCGTTGCCATTGCAACACTCGTGATGCGAGCCGGCGCAAAAGTAGACGGCATCGACGCCGGGTATAGCATAAATCTTGGAATCGTCCCACGAGACGCGCGTGGTTGGCAAATATGTTGGTGTGGTGGGCAGTGGCACGGCAGTGGGCCAAATCTTATTGCGATAATCCTTCGGTTGGAACGATTTTTTTTTTTTTGGGTATGTGTTTGTAGTTGTGATGTGTATTTTTATGTTTGGCAGGTAGCAGCAAAAATGAATCACAAATTGTGTTAAATTAAAAGAACCGAAAACGAGAAGAAAAAATTATGAACGAAATTAGAGAAATTAAATTAAATAAACCATAAATATAAATATAAAATAATGTACACATAAAGTATATTCAATTTCAATTATGTTTAATAAAATCAGAGTAAAATTTTAATTTCTTTTAAGTTATCATTCTCACTCACCTGCTGTTGGTAAGCATTGATGCCGCCTGGATTCCACTTTCCGCTTATGATATCCTTCACACGTTTTATGGCCAATAGAATTTTCTTTTGATGTCCCAACTTAACAATACCAATATCCTCCAAGTCTTCCCAAGTGACTTGAGTTACATCGCGTACAGTTTTATAGTTTTGATCGAGCAGCGGTTGAATGTACTCCTCGAGGCGTAAAAGCTGTAGCCATTCTTCGATAGAGCCCTGCAAGTAAAAAAAAATGGAAAAAATTAATGTAAAGTAAAAGAAAATATTTTTTTAGTTCTTAGATGTAGGTTTGGTCTGTAAACTATTATTAAAGCACGCGATAAAACTTATCCGGCAGCAAGAGAAGAAGATTTTCAATGAAGTATATGCAAGAAAATTTTAATATTATTGCATTTGGTTCAAAATACGGTTATCCGCAATTACCCAAAAAGATAATTACATTTTCATAAAAATAAAAGAAGGAGAGCATTGAAATAATTGGATATAGCTTAGAGGAAGCTTATCCGTGATTATCAAGACTACTTAGCTATGGCTTTAAGATGAAAAAATTTGCAGGAACTACTATCCAAGCTATTTTTTCATATTATTTAATTTAAAAATAATAATAATAATAAGGCAGCAGAGATAAATTTGAAACAAAAAACGACCCTAATAAACTGGAAGTTTGCATGCAAAAATAAAAAAAAGACATAAACGAGTTTTTTTCAAAGCATTTAGTTCTAACTGCAGTTTGTGTCAATCATCCAGTCACACAAAAATGAAATTAGGAACATTTCCTATATATGTGAACGAACCCTTAGAACCCTGTTATCTAAACTATCTCATCTTATCCGGCGTTGTTTTGCCAATGGAAAGTAGAAATATGACAGAGAAAACAGCCATTCCATTGGTTATTCATTAGAAACTGCTTTTTAACTTTGTATGCAAAAGAAAAAAATGTGCTAAAAACAAATTATTCGAGCATTTCCGGAGGCAAGAGTGTCCATAAAGGTAAGATAAGTTAGCGCCCTCTAATAAAAAGTCACTTTGATCATATAATTCAGGTGAAAATATCGGATCGTTCATAAAAAACCTAAGCATTTATCAAATCTTATGTGAAATACAACACTAAAAATACAAAATACAAAATTTTCAGTTGTTTATTTGACCTTTTCATGGCATTAAACTACAGAAATATGCGAAGATATATGTAGGGTGGTCCTTAAAAATATCAAAATCTAGATTTTGCGTGTGGAAACCTTTTAAAACATTCAAAATGAAAAAATTTATAAGTCGCTATCAGGGTTTAAAAAAACTATTTTTTTTTATCGAAAAACATCGATTTTTAAAATGTTGGTAGATGTATTTATTTGTACGTAGAGCAAAATAAAGGGGTGCCTCACAATGTCGATATTTAAAGGACCGCCCTAATGTAGGTACAGTGAAACCTCCCTTGGGCGGACACTCACCGTCGGTCATTTTTTGTCCGCCCAAGAGAGGTGTCCGCTCAATGGAAGGGAAGCTTATTTTAGAACTTTTTAATGTTTTAATTAATTGAATAGTCACTACAAAAAAGTGTATGTATTTTTTCAAAAGTGCATATTTCATTTATGAGCGTAAGTACATATTAAGTAATAACAAAATAAAAATAAATACATATTATATTTCAGTCCATAAACTACATAAAACCATAGATTCATTACATAAAAAACTGGGAAATTGTCGATTGACGTAAGTTTTATTTTTAATTTTTTTCAGTGTCAGTACCTTTTTCATCAATAGTTTTCATGTTTTTATCAGTAACAAAATCCAACCAGAAATATAAATCTTCAGTCCATGTATTTGTTATTATCTATTGTTATAAATTCATCAGAATTGGAATTGGATTCTCCAAGGGTTTCTGATAATTCAAATAACGAGCCTAAACCACTGCGCAAACCAAACTAAATGTGTGCATAACAATCACATTTTATGCGGGAAGTCCCCTTTTTCCATTTAGTAGTCCGCCTATGAGGAGTTCGCGTCCGCTCAACGGAGGTTTTTGTTTGATTTGTTATGAAAAGAAATCTTAATGTCCATTGATAAGAGGTTCGCATCCGCTCAATAGAGTTTTTTGTGCCAATTTTATGCAAAATAACTGTCCGCGTCCGGCCAAGAGAGTGTCCGCTTAAGAGAGTGTAATTTGTTCCGAAATTTATACTTAAAACTTGGTATAGGAAAAAATGTCCGCCCAAGGGAGATGTCAGTCTAATAGAGGTGTCCGTTAGGAGAGGTTTCACTGTATTTGTTAAATATATTGGAGTTCGTTTTTTTTCTTATTTTATTATCAAAGTTCTCTTTGTATTTGATTATCCGCCATTAGACATGATTTCTAAGAATTGTTTTCTACTTAAGTATTCAAAATAGACAAATTAGAGCCACAAAAACAAATTATCCGCGATTATCCGGAACCTAAAATATGCATAAAATTAACATAGATTATTTCGTGAGTCACGCTATTTCATTTGCCCGCGCATTTGCATAGCACAGGTGAAAATATCCATTAGTCGGGCATTTAAACAATGCCAGCATAATTATTGATATTCATGAAGTTAATAAATAATAAATATTTTTAATCAACGTCAATGCTGCCGATTTACATAAACTGATTACAGGAGATGGGCGACATTTTTATTGTAATTTTACAGATTTTTAATTTTTTGTTTGACTATTTATTTTTATTTTTTTATACATTTTGCAGCGCATTATTTATTCAATACAAATCAATATTCACGCTGGATATTCATTGAATATTTTATTTCACTGAACAGAAAAAAAACATTTGAAATGCATATTGTCTTATTTGATTAATGAGCGCCAAGCGACAGTGTGCGTCTGTGTGCGTGAGTGTTATTGGCATATCCACGTTGTCTACAATAGACTCATAACAAACGCTAATCTATTATTTTGATTTTTTATTCATTTTGCAAATAGTTTAAGCCAAATGAAATGTTATCCAATAATATAAGGAATTCATGGCAGATAAATAATGGCAGCCAACGAAGACCGATGGAAGTAAAAACCAATAAAAAAAATATTGGGAGAAATCGCATGCGAGCTTAAAAGTATTTAGCAGGAGATGGACCAGTTGGTTTGTGTGAGGCAAAGTGAGACGACACACAAGTGAAAACAAGTTGGGTTAGGGTGAGAGCGGTGCGTCGTGGCGAGACGCCATTTAAGGCAAAGCACCGACCTTGAGGGGTGACGACGCCAAAATGAATTAATAAAGCAAATGTTGAGGTAGCAAATAGTGAAGATAATCAACAATGCGATATACGGATAAATGAGTGCCAGGCAATGCTAAAAACTTCAAAGAAAAATATATAAAATAAATCGAAAAAGTGGCAACCAGCACCAAACCACAACAGTTGGGAACTAGAATCAACACAAAAACCAGTTTTCAACTAACTTCTTCATCTCAGGCAGGTATCTAAAAATCTTTAAAAAAAAAGTGCAACAGATCGTTCACAATTTTGTTATTTTTGAGTTCGGTTCAGCTAGCGACTGACCGGGCCAGCTACACATGCATGTGGTAAGCTTGTCACGCCATAAGCTACCTGCAAGCGCTGCCAAATGAACGAATCCACACCCGTACCAGCGACGTGCCTCTAAGCTTCAAATGGTTTCTTAAACGTGTACTGCTGCTGTAGTTTATTTTGCATTTTACCTTTTCTGTTTGAACATAGTAAATGCTATTGGACCGCTGGCGGTCATTCCTCGACGCTTCTTTTTATATTATTTTTAGTTTTTTTTTTGGAACCCATTATGTTTTCTCGTTAAATGTGAAATAAGTGGTAATAACACTACAGCAACATTTTCGACAGCAAAATAACCACGGAAAATAGCAAATCACAAGCGCAGCAAAAAAAAAACAATAAAACAATAAGAAAACCCCAAACTCGGAAATTGTTGGCATTTCGACGCTTGTCGATTGTCGGTGGTTAATCTCCATGGAAATGAGCGAGCTGCTGTCGAACGTGACTTTAAGCGAATGGTTAACGTATAAAATTTGCTAATTTGCGTTGAATTTCAAATGCTTCAATTATTTCACTTGCAAAATAAACGCTTTGGCATTTACACAAAGTTATTCGAAGTGTTGAAAAATCGGCAGCAAGAGTGAAAACTATTGCCGCGCACGAGGCAGAAACTGGACTTGGCATATGCCATGTTTTTCATGCAACCGTATCCACACAAGAGATGCCGTTTTTAAATCGATTAAATCGAAGATCGATTAATCGAGACCCTACGGTTAGATTTTTTGTCGATTTTTAGTTCCGATTCGATTCAAAAAATTCAAGAATCGACATTCATTATTTACTCAATTGATGAATTTGGAGCAACGGTTTGCCCCAGAAAAAATATATAAAATTCTAAAGAAATTTTAATTTGACACTGGTACAAAAAAAATTACTTGAGAGAGAAACGACTAAAGAATTCAATGACGTGCATGTCTTTCTCTACTTCTCCTCAGGGAAGCCTCTTAAAAATAACTATATATAAAATTATGGGAAAAACTACAAACAACAAGTAAGAGCAGCGCTGTCTTCGGCTATGCCGAAGGCTTCATACCTTTCATGAACATCTGAAATTTTTACTTTAACAGATTACTGCATTTGAAAAACTGTATATATTCACAGCATACATAGATAGAGGAGATACATATATGAAAAATCATATCTAACCAATCAAAGGTATGGAAGACATACCTTATATAGCACCAACCTAAGTGATTTTTACTGCTGTGTGATCGGTATGTAAACCAGTAACACAATTTAATGGGTTTAGCTTCCAACATAAAGGAGATATATCGAAAAACTGGTATCTGAACAATCAGTTGTATGGAGGCAATAAATAGGTTATAGCAACCCGAGATTTGTTCATTTTACTGTAAACTTTCTGTTGATAATGAGTGGAAAATTTTAGTGCTGAATTTTATATTCCCAGCTGCATAAATGGAGGAGTTATAACGAAATTTCTCATATCTGAAAAATCAGTTGTATGGCAGATATATGCTATAGTGGGCCGATCTTTGTAACTGAGAGTATTCTGTTAATAATGAGTGAAAACGGTGCGAAATTTCATGTTCCTAACTGCATAAATGAAGGAGCTATGATAAAAGGCCCCATATATGAACAATCAGTTGTGTTGGGGCTAAAGGTTACAGTTACCCGATCTTTGTTATTTTCATTGTGAGTATT